ACGTATATACTCCACCAACTTAGAAGTGAAAGAGCATGAAAGTGATAAAGCTTATGATAATCCGCAGCTCTTTAGCGTCAGCAATATTCTGCGGGACATTCCACATCGCTGCAGCTGCCTGGCAGAAGTGGTCGTGTGGGGAGTCTCAAGCAAACGAATGATGAGGTAGGAAACTCATTTTTCCCCCCGTTTTATATTGCTGGGTCCTATTAGCAACAGCCACACTCCAAAAAGAAGCCCATGGTGAAAAGACCTTCATCTGTAGCTCGGTTTCGGCGGAGCACACGCAGAAGGCAACTTGGTCATTCCGATGAATATTAAAAAGAACTCAATTCTTAAACCTCAATAAAAACAAGTTTCTCTTTCAGCACCAAGAGGTTCTGAAGAAGCGGTCCGCTCCAGTAGAGCCATTTAAAGGCGTGCGGAGAGGGAGACCCCATCAATTTAAGGTAGGAAGAAAAGCACGAAAGTGATTAATTTCACGATTAGCTGCGTGTTTCTTAGCTTCAACAAAATTCTGAGGGGCAATCCACATCAGTGCAGCCGCCTGTTAAAAGCGGTCGCATAAAGAGCCTCGAGCAAATGAGTGATGAGGTAAGAATTGAATGGGTTTCCTCCTGTTTTATAATGCTTGATTATTAGGGTCCGCAACCCAAAAAGTGCGCCATAGCGGTAAGGTCACCACCTCCAGTCCAACTTCGCAGGAGCACTCGCCTAAGACGCCTTTATCACACCGATGAGGTGCGGTTCTAGACACAATATTTTGAGCCTGAATGACGCTAGATTTTCTTCCAGCATCGAGCGGTTTCTGAGGAGTTATCTACTTCACTGCGGCCATTAAGAAGCGGACCGAGAAGGAGACACCAGCAAACCGCTGAGGTAGAAAAGCAGAAAAGCTATCAGTTTTGCTAAATTTTCATATCATTATATTTTGTTTTGCTAGATTTTCATATCATTATATTTTGTTTTGCTAAATTTTCATATCATTATATTTTGTTTTGCTAAATTTTCATATCATTATTATGGTTTCTCTTATTCTCTCTTACAGCGTCAGTCTACACCAGTGCAGCTGCCGCGAAACGATCATGAGGGGAATTTCCAACAGAATGAAGTAAGCAATAGTTTCTTTTCCCAAGTGCTGCTCCATTTATTTCTTGAGCCTGCATGCCAACGTTTGCACCAAACAATTTGCAAGGACTTATCCATACTGGAGAAGTCTGAATGTGGGCGGGCGGATATCCTCCACCATCCTGCTGGGATAGCAGTGAAAGCATGAAAATGATAAAGTTTATTATAATCCGTAGCTCTTTCAGCGTCAACAAGATTGTGCAGGGCAATCCATATCAGTGCAGCCGCCTGCTACCAGTTGTCGTGTGAGGAGCCTTGATCAATCGGATAAGGTGAAAAGCGTATGCTTCGCACTAAAGCACCAGATGCTCAATTTTTTCCAGTATAAACCACACTTCAAAGAGCAGCCCCCAGCGGAAGGTCCATTACGGGCAGTCCACCTTCGCAGGAGCACGCGCAGAAGACCACTCAACCGGGATGAGGTAGGATTCAAGACGTAAGGTTCCGATTTATATTCTTAAAAATACAACCATCGTTTTTAGCCTCAAATAGCTTTCGGGGACCTTCCTACACCACTGCACCCACCCAACAGCGGACAGATAGAAAGACTCCATCAAACCATCGAGGTAAGGGGAAGCATCTAAGTAACTGACTTTGC